TATGTCAAGCCAAAATACCTGCTGTGTGAAAGGCCTATGTAAACAAAGTCCCAAGCACCAACGTCTTCATACTCTGCTAGTTTTTAAATTCTAGTCGTTCTTTGATAAGCAACAAGGGCTTGCCAGAGAGTAAATCATACCCGTTATCAAGAAACCAAACCCTGCTGCCTTGAACAACTACTGGCCCACAGCCTTGACTTCCCTTTTCATAAAGTAATATCCCTGTGGTGTAGAGAAGCATAGTGAGGACTCTGCGACTTAAATTTCAGATGTAGATGATGTGACTTAATCTTTGCTGAAAAAACCCTCATTAAAGGATATGAAATCTTTTCTATATTTACACTGTGTTTTACCACTTGTTTTGTCCCTATAAACTTAAACATGAAACTTGTATAGACGAGCTGGATGTCTACAGTACATTGGTCTTTTAACCAGCTCAAATTAACATAATTATGAACCATTATACTAAAGAAATGTCATGTGATGTGATCTGATTTTTCTTATATGTCTAATACATGTATGTGGGTGTCTGCAAACAGATTTTTCACTGTAGTAACTAGATAAACTGAACCTGATATTGCAAAAGGTGCTCACTAACTAACGTTTTGTGTTTCTTAACAATAAACTTCCTCTTCCAAAATCCCTTCACTTCCTTTTACAAATTAGATGTTGCTAGCTGCCCCCCTCCTAGCTGCTGCTATTCTGCATGACAATTAATTCTGACAAGCTCAGGGAATCCTTAGTTGAACCTGTGCAGTTACTGGAGCTGGGTAAACAGTGTGTATTTATTGCCGTTTAAAATGGTTCCCATTTTTGACCATAAAACAACTGATTTATTCCTTAAAGCATTACAGCAGATAAATTACCTTGTAATCCAATCAGGTAGCGCGCAATGTAGCTGATTGTAAGAGGCACAGTAAGAAGCCTGGAGAAGCTACTGGTTTTCTCACTCTTTGTCTTATTTTTAATAATAACGTTGATGGCACAATACAAGTTAACAGTGACCAATACCGCTTCTGAATGTGGCAAAGCTACATATGAACTACTGAAGAATGCTCAGACAGTCATAATGCCAAATACAAAGGGCCTTACCACATTTGTGTCCGTTTCTATGGTGTGCTCCACAACACATGTTTGGTCGGACACAGAGCCTTGGTCCAAGCTGCAGTCCAACTGGATCAGGGCTCGACAGCGGTAGTGGCATGTGAATCTACAATCTGTAAATGTAGAAAGTCCCTAAATTTAGAGCCACACTGCCAAACACATAAATACATATGACAAAATCGTCAACATAAAGACACGTGATAATAGGGTACAATTGTAAATGGGTGATGTCCTCCACTGGCCATTAAAGGTCACTGCACTTATGGTAAGGTGGCTTTTCCTTGTGATTTTTCTGTGTGTGTGTGTGTGTGTGTGTGTTTGTTTGTGTGTGTTTGTTTGTGTGTCTCGACATACATATAAACAAACACTTGTCAGATATACAAATATACAAATAGCAACTTCCTTCTGTTGAGCGCTGCTGTGAAATAAAACAAAACTAATATACATGCTAATAATAATAATGATAATTAATATAAATATATGATTAATCATTTTGTGGTCTTTGGTCATAATCATGTTTGCTGCTATTAGTTTAAGGTTTGTGTTTGTATTGATAATTCTTTATCATTTGATTATGGTTTCATGTTCAGATTATTGTTCAGAAGCATTTTTTTCTGCACACTCAGTGTCTTACACAAACCACAGCTACATTACAGGAAGTTCTAGACTACTGGGACTCCAACATGAGTCTTGAGCAACAAAAAAAAAGCACAGGTCTATAAAACGATCTTGAGCCTAGATGTTGACCAAACCACCAAAACCATATTAACACCTACATGCATGCTAGATCCTGTTTGTCTTCTTAGACTTCTTAACTGCTAGTAAAATAATACTTTTTGAATCTTGTAGTCCTAACATTAAACCTCTTTGACAAACAGCCCATTTATTTCTGCTGAAAGGCAACATGGAGGACATTTATAGCACGGCATCAAGCATTTAATTTATGATTTCTCCTGCGCCTACACTGGTGGCTATCATGTAACTGTTTAACCAAATTTCCTCTTTCTCTCCATGTTTCTGTCATTTCTGATCATGCATATGCACAGAGGCAGCCACACATGGACACGCCCAGATGCACAAACAGCCCACATAAGCCAACTCACTGACACACCGCAGGCTCTGCTTGTAAAGGCCCCAGATGAAGTCTCCACACAGGTCACACCACGTGGGCTGAGCGTGGCTGCAGGGTTGGAAGTTGTGTCCCTCTCCCTTCTCCTCTTTGAGCTGGGGGTCCTGGGTGCTGCTCAGGACTCTGATGATGCCCACCCGGCTCAGCAGGTCTGGGACCTTCCCCGGGCTGATCCTCAGGGCGTTGGTTCTCTCCAGTCGAGGAGGGGAGCAGGGTGAATGTGTGCTTGTCAGCTCTATCTGTTCTCTGTTGTTGCGCAGGTCACGTAGCTCAATGAACTCCCCACAAGACATTGTGTCACTCAGAGCCTGGCTTTGTCCATTATCACTGACAGGTAGAAAAACAGATTATAATAGAATGCAACATGCCAAAGACACTGTTTTGAACGTTTAAAAAATTGTGATCTTGAAATCATAAAGTTGTATCTTCTTTTGCTTTTTGAGTTGGTCAGAAATCTGCACCATTCACGCAGTAAGTGCTGGTGTTTATGTATCGTCTGACTAGGGATTCCAAATGTTTCCCCACCTGGGTTTTCCCTACCTTGGGACAAAACATTATTTTAAACTAGAAGGGCACTCAGAGAGTGCAGACATCTGCCAAGGCCAAAGCCAAACAAAATATATCAGACTTCAGAGAAAAAAATTCAAAGTAAATAGTAAATGATCTGGATCTGCCCCAGATTGAATGGGTTCTTCCCTGGCCCATTCCCCATTCCTCCACCAAGATCAGTGTAAATTGATTTAGTACTTTTTGTGTAATCACACCTAAACAGACACAGATGAAAACATAACCTGCTTGGTAAAAATTAAATGGACCAGTAGATTTATGACAGTCTTCCCATTAGAAAAAAAAGATCTGTATAAACATACATACATTAACATACATTATTATATATAGTGTATATAGTATATATATATAGTATATAGCTTTCGCTGTGGCAGCCCCTAAAATGTGGAACGATCTGTCTCTGCACATTAGACAGGCGTCTTCCTTGTCTGTTTTTAAATCCCTTCTTAAGACCCATCTCTTTTCCATGGCCTTTGACACCCTGTAAGATGTGATTTTATTTTATTGTTTTATCTTATTTTATGTTATTTTTTGTTTTCTCTTATTATATATCTGTTTTTATTGATGTTTTATGTCTTTTAATTTACCTTGTGTTTATAATTTTATCATGTACAGCACTTTGGTACCTTCTGGTTGTTTTTTAAAGTGCTTTATAAATAAAGCTGGATTGGATTGGATTGGATAGTGGTGGGAATGGCATTCAGATATTTATTTTAAAAATAGCAATACTATAATTTTAAATTAGGCACACAGAATAGTTTTATCAGCTAAATGTACTTAAAGCTTCAAATGTGAAAGTACGCATTATTCAGCAGAATGGCACCTTTACATATTATATGATTTTATTATTGGATCACTGTTACTGATGCTTTAACATATAAAGATCATTTTAATTATAGCTAATTTTAATGTGGTGCAGTTTAATTTGTAACAATTCCTCAGTTTTCTTAGACTATTTTCATGTAAAGTAGATATCACACAAGATTTTATTAACATGCTGTGTTTTTTGCATAAGGCTGTAACCATGTGACACGTTGGTTTGTCACACACAGCGTAGCCTACTGTATTGAAGTGATTATATAATGTTTGATAATCTGCTAACCTAACAAGAAAAGCAGAGTATGATAACCCAATGTAAAACAAATACTGCAACATGTTAATGTATACAAAGTAGACTACAGTAGGTTTTTATTCTTACAAGTAACGGTGCGTTCACGAGGGCTGAATGAACGAGGGTGAATTCTCAAATGTTTAGTCCAAAACAACAATTTAAGTAAATTTAACTTTAAAACGTTTAAAGTAATAAAAAAATAAAATAAAAGTATATTCCAGCCAACTTACCAAAACAGGAGAGAAAACAGCCCCGTGGCAACCGCTTTGTCTCAAAACCTCCTGCATCTGAAGAGAAAAACTTTCCGCAGACATTTCTGACAGTTTCCAAATAACGGAGGTGTGCAGTCCCGGCTACATCTCTGGAAATAAGCTATCATCAACGGCCAGTCACTGTTTACCACAGAGCCCCGGCTTTGACGGGAACGAAGCCGGTAACATCAGACTAACGGCGGTCTGAGAACACTTCTCATGGCACTTACCATCTTCTGATTTAGCCAGAGTCTTCTGCTGTAGGAGGAAGCGGCCTATCATGAAAAGGAGAGAGTGAGATGAAACTGAGCTGCCTGCACCGACATCCGGAATGTTTTCACATAGGGGGTGCTTCTGAGTCCGGAGAGCTCAGCTTATAGTAGGCGTTGCAAAGTTCCCCACCCCTCCAACCACTGTCTTATAGTGTCATGGACCTGGGTTTCATTTTCCACAGCACCGATGACCTAAATGTAAACTGCAAAACTTTAAACTAAAAATGTTCATGTTTAAACACACAGCCACTCCTACCATCTCATACTGACCTCAAACTTTTCACCTGTCTTTTAAGACAAGTCAGACCCTCTGCAGAAGGTCAACAAGCCAAGACTCTGGAAGGGTAAAGTCTGAGCATAATTAGCAGGAATATTAACCAAGAAGAGCGACCACAAATTCCTAAAGACTTTAACTGTTTGTGTGGCTCTATCTGAATGCAGAGACTTTAGGTTTCTCACTAATGTACAGCAGATGTTTGAAAACACCTTCATGCCAGGGTTTCTATGAGAAACGAACAAAAAAAAAACAAAGTTAAGGAAGTCATTAAAGTAACTTTATTTGCTGCTGCTGTGATGAAGTGAAATGCGCTTCCACCCCGTCACTTACCAAGATCAAAACAGTAATCATCACAGGAACAAATATCACAGTATTTAAAACAAAAAGTTACAGCAAAATTCTATAACAGCATAAACTTTACCAGCATTAAAAGAAAGAAAATTCTTTATTTATAATATATAGAAATCCAAATCTGCTTTGTCCACATGCAGATCTGCTCTCCTCATATCTTGTTTATCAAAAGTCCCATCTCGCATTGTTTCTCGCCAGTCCATTCTGCTGCTTCAGCAGTTTCTCTTTCAGCTGTTGATGTTCAGCTCTCTCTGGATCTTCTCTGTCGCCTCGACCATGAGCTGACAAGCTTTCTTGTGTTTAGGCCAGTGTTTCACCTGACACTCTCTGCATAAAAAAACAAACAAAAAAATAAAGAGATGAAGTAGACTTTACACTTTTTAGAATATGATATCAATATAACAAAAACATTTATTTAAAACATTCAGTATTACAGAAAATTCATTTGATGGGCATGAAACAGATATATTATTATTTTATTCCTGATATCCATCCATCCATCAGCCACATCCTCCAGCTCCTGGGGGATCCTCAAGCATTTTTAAGACAGGTGGGATATGTAAACCCTCCGGCATGTCTGTCCTGCCCCTGTAATACCTCCACAGGGAAGTATCCAGGAGCATCCTAGTCAGATTCCCAAACCAACTCGGCTAGTTCCTTTCAACCAAAAGGAGGAGAGGTTCTACTCTGAGATCCATCTGAATGTCTCCGTATCTTAAAGGCTTAGCCACGGAAAATAATTTCAGCAGCTTACAGCCATGATCTTATTCTTTCAGTCATTACCCAAAACTCATGACTACAGGTGAGGGTTGGACAGTACCTTGACCAGTAAACTATGAGCTTTCGTCAGGCTCAGCTCCTTCTTCACTACAACAGTCCAGTACTACTGCTGGACTCATATCTGTACCTGTGGCAATACCATTCTCCCTGACATCGAGAGCATCTCTTTGCCGCTTCTTTCCCACAGGATCCACACTTTGGCTTCTCAGGGAGTAAACTCTCCATCACATCCAAGTTGTACGTCTGGGCCAGTCTGGTTAAAACAAACAACAATCATCTCAAGAATAACTGCAGTTCAAAATAACTGTAATAATGTCTGAGGTAATTCTGAGTTAGACCAGTACTTCCAGTGTTACCTCTGTGCCTGTAGTCTCAGGTCATTTTTAGATGGGTTGAATGTTTCTTTCACTTGATACTTTGCTATTGCCTTCCACTTCCCAGAATTCTCACTCACAATGCGGTTCCACATTTCTGGGATCTATACATAAAATAAAAGTGGGAGTAAATTCACAGGGACATAGTTTGACCTAGAGATGTGTGTGTTTATGTGTGTTAGAGTGTATACCTGCTCCAAAATGAGCTCTTTTTTTGGAGGGGCTGGGTCTGTAACTGCAAGATGAGCCAGGAAACGCTGCAGCTCCACCAGGTTTGGCAGCTGATCAACCAACACCTCCGTCAAGAAACCTCGTAGCTGTGGCACATGAGCGATAAGTCCAGAAATCATACAGCAACAAGTACAACAATATTGACCTCATCAGGATAATCTTCCCTGAGTTAGGAAGCCACCATTATAAGAACAAATGTGACTATAAGAGAGTGCACAAGGCCCTCTGGTTATATAATTAATGTAACAGGAAGAGGATGAGAAAACGTATAATAGGAGGAAACATCTTAGTCAAAACAACCTTTGGAAACTGAATCTGTGTTCTAACAAATGATATGATGTTGGAGGACAATGTTCTGGCATTCACACACTTCCTGAGCTTCAGTTTACAGCTACTATCCAGTAGGAAGAGGAGGAGTTGATTGACCTGATTGAAAATCAGGTTGCATGTTGATTAAATAAAATAACTCAAAGTAACTAACTAAAAGTAGAACAGTGCAAGATCATTTCAACATTTCACTCAAACCTTACCTTTAGAAGCTGATTCTTGTTGAAATTGTTAAAGTCATATTTCCTTTGGCAATCCTCCTTTAGTAGCAGATTGTAAAGGGCAATCCAGACCTGGCCATCTAGTTTTGTCATCTTCAAATTGTCCTCTAGAGGAATCTTCTGCCATTTGCCGTTTATGTACTTCTCCACCTCACCTACGGGGGAGACAGAGGCAAAAGGCACAAACACATTTGTAACAGATATTAAAATTCAAAGACATATTTGACATGCAGAAGGTGTGTGATATACCTTCTCTGCAGCGACTCCAAGGGCAGCAGTTAATCAGCTGAACCAGTACACAAGGCACATTATGGGTGCACAGCATGCGATTGATAACACTGATACTGGAAAGAAAAAACATACTCTCCTTTTGTCAGATGTCGAAATCAAACGATTGGTCAGTTAATCAATTAGTCAACTTTTACTAACTGATTACCAAGTTTCAAGCAATGCCACACATTCTCTAATTTCAGCTTCTCAAATGTGAGAATTTGCCACCTTTTTCTGTTTTATATCATTGTTAATTACATATCTTTGGGTTTGGGACTGTTGGTCAAACAAAACAAGCAGTTTGAAGAAGTTTTGGGGAATTGAGATCATTTTAAACTTTTTTTCACATTTTATAGACAAAACAACTGAATAAATTGTTGATAGAAAAGTTGATAATGAAAATAACTGCTACTGTTACACATCTACTCAGCTGCACTCCCAGAATCTATAAATATAATATCTATACACAGATATTCTCGTCTTCTCTCATGTATACCTCTGACTCCTAAACCTTAATGACGGCTCAGACACAGCCATACCTGTTGGTGTGATCTGTGATGTAGCGCAGCACAGACACAGCCTTCAGGGAGATCTCAAACTCCAGTGCAGCACTCTGAATCTGCAACTCCTTCACCAAGTAAAAAAACAGATGTTACTCATCAATTTAAGTGAAAGAAAGACCAAAAAACAAAAAAGAACAACAAATCTCATACTCTTTTACCTCTATAGAAGATACATCTGTTTGCCCTGTCAGGTTGTGTTGGTCATGAGCTGCGGTGCCCTTACTGGCCAGTAGGGTGAGTTTGCGGTGGCAGTAATCCACCAAGTCAAGAACAGAGTCATCAGCTGCCTCACATGAATCCTACACAACACACACGAGTCTTTTTAGTCACAATTAAACATTATTTTTATGGAGAGAATGAACCCAGAGTCTACACTGCCTTGCTTCAATCACATCAAAGCTTTAACACATTTAAAATTTGCTGCAGATTAATATCATTTACAAGTTTGTATTTGTGTACATACTGACCGTATGAAACATTATTGTTTCAAGTAGGTTTATTATCGTTGCCTCATGGTGGATCTAAGAAGGATGACATGAAAGAGCACATGAAATCAGATAGGAGTGCTGCAAGCTGATCATCATTTTACATTTCATTTTACACTCACCACCATGTAAAGATGAAATGTGTTCTTGGGATTGAAGTCCTGCAGCTGACATAAGATGGGGAACACTTTTTGCTTCCACACTTCGACAAGGATTAACTCATGGACCAGAACAGGTATCTACAAAGGGGGAGGGAAGAGAAAATCAATAATGTTATAATGTGTCTACTATGCTGACATCAAGACTTAGAATCTAAATTATTGGGACTCACTTCAAGAAATGTTTAATGAGACTGTGATAGGGCTTATCTAAAATCACATGTATAGAGGTGGCAGTCACCTTTCCATATGACACCAGGAGCTCCTTGACGAACTCATCATGCATGGCAGAAGCATTCAGTATTGCCTGCATGTTAAGTTTCTCGATGTACTCATGCTGTCTGAACCACCTGTCAACACAGAATAAAAAACAGTGAGCATGGAGTTATGCTTTGCTTTAGAATAATCTGAATCACAATATTCTGTTCACACACAAAAATGTTTTACAGAATAAGCCACAGTAGCAGGTTCCTGCTGCTTTTCTGTTTTAAACATTATTGTAAATTCGAATATCTTTGGATTTTTACCAGAGAAAACAAGCAATTATGTTCTTGGATCATGTGGTGGGTATTGTTTTCTATTTTCTGACATATTATAGACTAAATTAACAATCCATTATTTGAAAAAAAAATCTAACTAGAGAAATTTAACCACAGTTTTTCAGAATTGGTATTGTATTACACATGGGCTTGCCTTGGCAAACAGCCCATCTATTGTTAAGGGAGGATTTTCCCCTGAAATATGCCCAGCAAAATGAGACAGTAGTTTTTTAATGCTAACATTTACCTTACATTTAACATTTAACTAATAATGCAAGTATAATAATGTTTCTTACTATCTTCATCATAAACTGCAGAGCCTACTGTTCATGAAGGAGTAACAGCCATTCGTGCATTGTGGAACATGTCGGAGTATTTTGCTAACCACATGTTGACTTTCCTTATTTAGTTTTTAGCACAAATTCATCGTGACAGCATCTGCTACACACTGCATGCCAGTTTACAGTGTTTAGATGATATGCTAATCTAACACGTTAACTAACAGCAGGGTTAGCTGGTTCAGGTTACCTCGTAGAGCCCACTTCCTTGAGAGAGAAAGTTTCCAGACTTTGAACAAACGCCTCCGCTTCGACGGGCAGAATCACCGACGGGTCCATTTCGCTGCAGGAAGCTACACGACAAGCCATCAGTTAAAAAAACACTCAACTTAACTTCAATATCACTTCAGTGAAGTTGTTTCTGAAGTTAACTTAAATGGTGTTAGTGTTTCCTGTGGTTGCCATGGTTACTCTAAACCAAGCGCACACTGAGCGCAGATGCCGTTTTCCGCCAGAGGGGGGCGGTATATGTTTGAGTTAAACCAACAACTATATCATGTTATCAAAATAGTGATAGAGGAAGTATCCAGCTCCTTCATTTCTCAAATTTTACTGTGAGTTAAATATTCTTAAAAGTAAAAAAGGTATTATATTGATATATTGGAATATTATTACTAATGCAAGTAAGCAGCATTTTAATGTCACAGCTGGTAGAGGTGGGGTAGTTTAATTTGCAATGATGCATCATCTTTTGTTTGCTGATCTTACGTTTAAATCATCATTTACAAAGTAACCACTATAATTTAGGGAAATGTAGTGCATTGAAAAATACAAATTTTAAGTAGCATAAAATTTAAATGCATAAGTAGTGAAGTGCAAGTGCTTCACTATTGTACTTAAGTACAGTACTTGAGTAAATGTACTTAGTTACTCTCCACCACTGCCTTTACTTGAGTAAATCAGCAATACAACACTGTTAAAGCAGTAATGGCAAAATAAATTTGTACTCACTGCAGAACAATTGTCCCTGTGGATATTATACTACTATTATTAGATTATTACTGATGCTTTAGCTAGTTGTTATCATGAGTGAAAATAGCCTACATGTTGACAATATAGCTTAGATGATAAATATTTTCCCCACAGTCTGATAACATCAGGTCTTCTGTATCTGCCTGTTCCTGTGCTCATTCTGAGGCTCATGTTTTGAGGCTGCAAAATTACATACAAAGTAAAACTCTCGATGTTGTAAGTATGGAGCATGGTAATCTATCATATGTGGTATATATCTATATCTCTATCTACAGAATACTGGTTAGCTACTGAACATCAATTTGCCATGGTGGACCTGTCAAGGGGCATGTGGCACTGGAGAGCTTTAGCAGAATCCTTTATCTGGTTTGTTGTGTTGAGTACATGGGGATTCCCTTTATGATGGGATATAGGTTATGTAATTGAATTTTTTATATTGACTAAGAAATTAAGACTGCAACTGTGTCATAAACCATACGAATAGACATTTATTGCATTTTTTTTTTTATTTAGTGATATACTGTACTGTGCAAAAGCTTTAGGCATTAAACATAAAGTGAGGATGTTTTCAAAAATAATGCCATGAATAGCACTGGACGGTGCTCAAGCCCTAATAATGTTGTGTGACCACCCTTTGCTTGTACAACAGCACTATTTCTCCATGGTACAATTGCATGCAGTTTCTCAAGGGACTTTGCAGGTAGGTTGTTCCAAGCATCTTGGAAAACTTGCCTCAGTTCCTCTGTGGATTTAGGCTGTCTCAATGTCTTCTGACTCTTCATATAATCCCAGACTGAATCCATGGTGTTGGAGGCTAGACCATCTGTTGCAGGACTCCCTGTTCTTCTTGTCTCTGAAGACAGTTCTCTATCACTCTGGCTGTATGTCTGTGCTCGTTGTCATGCTGCAGAATGAATGTGGGACTGATAGGACGCCTCCCTGATGTTATGGTGCAATGGATAAGAATCTAAACATCTAGAGTGCCTAAACCGATTGGACAGTTTGTTCCACTGTCTTATAATTTCTCTTATTAATCACATATTTTCCCTTCTACAACATTAATAAATATCACCTTCCTCACTTGACCGAGATGTTGATCCCAATACTTGATCAAAAGCAGATTAGAATCAAAAACATTAAGATAACATCGAAAAATGTATGTTATCTATTTGCTTGCTTATTCCAAGAAAACTGTTCCTCTCGCTGAAGGCATCTTTGGTTGAGGTATCTTTCAGTCAGATGGCTGTCTTCAGCACAGAGCTGGTTTTTTTTCAGTTCACATCACTTCCAGCACACCACGATGTTGGGATCATTTTCCAAACGTTCGTCCAGCTCCTGGTAACTGATCCCTGTGAAATCATGACATCAGCCTAGTTAATACACATGTAATTTGACTATAAACAAACTTGTTTACTTCCAAGGGTATTTCTTTGTGACCTGCCTGTTTTGCAGCAGATCTCATCATAACTATGACAACCGGTATAGAGTCGAGGCGGCCTGCTCCTCTCATCACGGATCACCTTCACTGGATATTTCTGCAGCCGTCGAATGAGAGACTTCATCAGTCCAAACTGGATCAGCCTCCTAAAAGGCAACACATGATATGACACATCTGTAAATAAATCTCTCTCTGACCAAAATTTTCAAGAACCATCAAGTGTTTTCAGGAACTGATACGGTGAGTGATGCTGACCTCTCATCAACCCTCTGAAGCTGCTGTGAGTAGCGTGAGCAAAGGTCTCGCACTGTGGTTCCTGGACTCAGACCACAGTACAGCTGGAACACGTCTCTCAGACTGGCCCGCTTTTGACCTGACAAACAAACGGAAAAAAACCCCCCCAAAAAAACAGGGCAATGAACATCAAACAATACAGGAATAAATACTTGACTTCACCAATCACAACGCTTATTTACCCTGCTTGGAGACGTAGTTGAGGCACTCCTCCTGAATGGACTTGTCATCTATGAGGCTCTGGACTTTGGGGGTGGTGCAGTACACGTTTGAGTACTGGTGGGAATAAAAGGGCACAAGACAATAACTAAACTACACAGACCTTCAAACAGCTACAACAATATTAGGGATTAAAGAAGCAATATTACAAGAAATAGTCATAATATTTTTATAATAACTTTGTAATAGTTTAAGGATAAGGCAAAAAAATATCACACAAAAGTCACAATATTTGAAGAAAAAATCTTTCAATATTTCAAAATTTTAATACTTATTTTTAGTCAATTGGTGAAAACAGTGTGTCAGCTGTTATGAAATTATTTAACAATAATGATTTTTTTCTCAAAATTTTACAACTGTTTTCACGCTAAAGTAAGTCTTAATTCTAGAAGTTTCTTCTTCCAAAAACAGTACAGTTATTCCATCATAAGTGATAACACCACATTCTAAGACACAAAGTTACAATGCGAGTTTGGTTTTGTACCTGGTAAATCGAAACCAAGGTCACAACATCATAATACCTGTGAAAGAAAAGGAGGCTTTGAGTATCTCTCTTTAGTTTCATTTGGAAACATAAATTTCGACACGCTACGTACGTAAGTACAACACACACCAGCTGCACTGTGAAGTACTGCATCATTTCAAGCCATAAAATGTGGTGAAAGCAGTGCTTCTCTGAAAACTTGAGCCCTATCAGAAGAAACTGAGAAACAGAATATTGGCTTATCCTAATGTGGATCAACCCACAGTGACATTCACCAAGTCACCACAGATATGCAGGCCTGCTGCACTGTATAGAAAACATAATGGATGTTTTGATGTGCGTCAGATGCCTCTGGTGTGTGTTGCCCTTTATTCACTGAAATGTACTCACAATAGATTCTGCACAGCAATACGAACAAGATTCAGCTCCACATCCGCTTCAGCTGAAATCTTTTGGATGTGTCTAAATCCATCAATATAGGGCAGGATCTGTAGCAAGATACAGTACAACATTACTGGCTTGTACTAAGCTCCATGACCTGAACTGCCTGTTTAATAAGCTCTATATGCATTATTATGTACCTATAATTCTGTTCATTGCTACAGCAATAAGATTATTGTACCGGTAAACCCGACTCCTTCTCCTGTTCCTACATAATTCCTTCCTTTCACCTATAATGCACTGCATGTAATAGAGGTGTTTATATCACTCCCTGCACAGATGATAACAAACGTTTAATTAGTTCTAAGAATTTCTGATTATCTTATCACAATGTTCCTCGATATCAGCCACGTTCTACTGAGGGAGAGTGCCAACCTGCTGAGTGGTGAGATCCCACTGAGATTTGATAAAATGGTCTTTACACTGTGTGAAGACAGGAACGTCATACTCCTGCACAATCGGGGGGTCCTTTCGCAGCTCGATCAGCTTTAGATGTATAGTGTTAGATGCATCTAAATCAGAGACAATGAAAAGAAAAAGAGACATTTAAAAACTATCCTGATAGCTACTATTGCCACTAAAGCAAAAATAGGTTTTCAAATGCCAAACCATTATCTTTAGTTCTCACTTCCTGTCTCTTAGAAGCCGTTACTATGCTTTTCACCAGCGTTTCACTCAAAAATAAATTAAAAGCACTAGTTACTAATTATGTTTGCAATTTTAACAGGTCAATATGATTAATACATTTTTCATGCAAGGATCTTCATTACTTCTAATGACCCATCTAACTGGGAGACCTAACTAGTAAATCAACTAGTAAAACTAAATTCTACTAGTTAACTATAACCTAACCAATGCTAAACTCCTCACAAATCCTCAGTGTTTTTGTGAAGTGTGTTAAAATGCATTTCCCCTTCACACAGCTGCTGTGTCTTGGTGCTTGACTTATATGTCTCTTTAGCAGCCAAAACATCTCTAAATTTCACTTTGGAACCCTTTTGGTCGGTAACCTTCAGTGCTGCTTCAACAAAAAGGACAGCTGAACAAGATTTTTTCTAGTAGCACCTCTTCAACAGACTATTACAATTAATCATCACATCAGGGCCGTTTCCTGTTGCAAACACACATAATTTGCATTTTGCCACCACTGTCAGCATTCATGTGAAAGAAACAGTTACAGCAGCTGTTGCCACAAAGAGAACTGGAATGTGCACAGTAAAAACTGAAAGAATACCTATTGGTAAAGTACAGGCTCCTGTAGCATTGAGTTCTTCCAACAAGGTCGACATGATGGGTAAAAGTTTCTGCTTGCTGTCCTCGTTGGAAATGAAGCCACTCTCCAGCTGCAAAACAAGAAAGCAAAAAAGATTTAAGATTAATCTCTAGGATGTCTTAGTACTGGGAACAACACAATTATCAAATTTGTCACATTTGATATGGACAGATGTAAAAATGCATCATTTACTACCTCCAGAGTAGTGAGGTACCCAGACAGCTTCTTGACAATTGGCTCGAGGGCACATGTGTTGGTTTGGGCGTCACAAACAAGGCCAAGGTTAAACAGGAGGGCGTTCCGGCTATACTTTTTATGTTCAATGCATACAGGACACCCGATTAACTTCTTTCCCATGGCAGTGCTACAATAGATATGAAGAGCGGACACCATTCCCTTGTAAATATAAACACATATCTCAAGGGTAAAAAAAAAAAAATCCACAAATTATGACAAGAAGACAGAAGTGGAGTGGTACATTACATACACTGTTATCAATTTGTTTTGCAGTTCTGGCTTGGTGATAATATAAACCTGAACTGTGTCAAAGAGCTCCCGTGAAATGTATTCCTCTGGGACCTGTCAGGAGAGGACAGAGGGGACACTGCATGACACAAGACATCCTATAAGATAGACTAAGGAGATTATTGACTGTGCACTTGCAAGGTCAATACCACAAAAATATAAATAAAGGATTAAATACACGTTTACCATTAATAAGATTAATGATTCTAATTTAAATTCCTTGATATATACACTCAATCACAATGATGCATAGACTAGACAAGGACAATCTGTCTTGCTGCTTGTGTCCAAAGGTAACAATGCATGCTTTTCTTGGGAATATGATGAATAGGAACACTTGGAGGTTAAATCACACACAACATGAAAGTACAAATATGATCCAAGCTTATAAGGTTATGTATCTAACTTAATTACAAACCTCAACTTGTTACTAGGTCTACATATAACAACTATTTTTATGATCTATTAGTCTACAGAATATTTTATCAATTAATCAATTTGTCGTTTTGTCAGAAAAAATGTGGAAAATATCCATCTTAGTTTCCCATAGCTTCTGATGCTGAACTATGTAATTACTGTAGCTTCACTACTGTGTCACAATAAGAATAACCACAAAGGTAATTACAGTAACTATGATTATTAATAAGACAATCGTGGTCATTTTATTAGAGCTACCCTTGTTAAAATGTTGAACTGTGAATTTGAATCTCACTTCACCAAACATATTATTTGCACACTTACCTGATATGTTATCTTTGGGCCCAGAGTAGGGTGAAACTCACTGAAAAATATACACTCTATTCGAGTGGTCATGCCTATCATAGACCCTCTGGTCAGGGAAGCCTTACAGAAGGACAAAATACAAACTTTAACCAAACTACTTCAGTTTTAGATGATGGTCTCCTCTGCCTGCCTTCCCTGTTTTGCCTCAGCTGTTATTTAGCAGCCACAGCTAGCTGCTAGCTTCGGCTTTAGCGTTTAATAACGAGCTAGTGAGCTCCTGTGAAATACAGTTAGCAGCTCTAACGTCTGAACAACGTCATAGCAAACGTGTTATTAGTTAGTGTACTTAACAAAAGTGATGTCGACTCGATAGTGAACTATTCAACAAAGATACTCGAGACATTCATGTACACCAGACAACAACTAACTGATGCCTTCAGGGGATCCTCGGAAATTTTTTAATTCTTTGAGGTTGCTAAGAAATGCATTTTACCATCAGCTGTTCATTAACTAAACTATCTTGAATAAGTACTGAAACCTTTTACTTGTGCAAAAGTACTAATACAACACTGTAAAAACACTGTTACTTAAAATGGCTCCTGCTGTGTATCATAATATTAGATTATTACTACGCATGCACATCACATACCCAGAACCCAAAATGAAACCTTCACAATGCTTTGGTCCAACCAACACTCCAAACCCCAAAACGATTACGAATCAATAAAAATTATAAAACAATTTAAAGAACAAGCAGAAAATCCTCATATATGGGAATATTTGTAATTTTTTCATGAAAGATAACTTAAATGATTATCAAAACAGTTGTCACTAACCCTATCAATTGGGTAATCTATTTCTGTAACAACACATTATATCTAATAGAGCTCCTAATATGTTTTTGTATTCAAAAATGATATTTTTTAAATATATGCAATATTTCTGTTCTAGTGTAGAGGAAGCAGGCCCATAAAGTAAAATATAATTTACAAGTGACTCAAATTTGTACTTCTCAAGTACTACAGTACTTTAGTGAATGTCCTTATGTATATTCCACCACTGTTTAATACTCTCGACAGTACTTAAAGGCAACACTGTTCACCAGAGTCAGTGCTGCGCAGTCTGCGCCGCATGTGGAGACGTTTCGTATCGCATAGCTGCGCCATGTGTAGGAAAAACTAATAACCTCATCAACCAGCGTGTCGTCAGACTAAAATGTTTAATTTCATGTAGGTCGATAAGTAATCTAGAAAGTGTACATACAGGACGACAGAATACTTAAAGGATACATCGAGTACAACGAGCACTTTCCTGTAAAACAATGGGAAGACAGGTTGTCTGTTTACTTTAACCATGTGGACAAGGTCAGTGAGTGCAGGTTACAGATGCTTTGGGTGCAGGAGTGTTGGACCAAAGGTAACTAACTAACTGGTCAAATTGATTTGTCTGTTGTTTTCATAGAGTCATGAATGCTGACTGCTCTGAGCACAATCGAGCTAAACTGGCTGTTGTTGCTCCTGACATACATAATATGGGGAGAGCATGAAAATTAAGAACAAATGGATTATTGATAAGCGAAAAAAAATAACCGTCAATACTGAACTTTGTCCCAGTTCATTCTTTGCAGCAGACAACTGAACTACAAGCCAGTCTACATATAAGCACAGTGATGCTTTACTTATATTTATTGTTGATGTGCATTTATATTTGAGTGGATTGAAGATCTTTGTTATCAAGTAATCTATAGTGCAGGTTGTGTTACTGAATATGGGCCTGGCAGTCCAGAACAGTCTCTAAGAGGAACACACACACACACACACACACACACACACACACACACACACACACACACACACACACACACACACACACAGGCACACACACTAGATCAAATAATCACAAATAATCACACTAATATACCCTGAAGGTATATTCTGATAGGTACTGTATATCTGAAGTGTGTTTGAAATAAGTATGATCCCCCTCTTAATATTGTGGGGGTTTAAAAATTCACCTGCAAGGCTGCAACTAACTCTTATTTTCATTTATGACTGATCTGTAAATCATATTTTATTAATTGATTGCTTATGTCATTTTTGGTATGGGAAAAATGACAACTGTTATCACAAATATCTGGTGGGCTCAGTTGAAAAAAAGGCTTAAAATATTATAAAAAGGATCTGTGTTTTCCTGTCAGTGGCAGAACATTCATTTTCATACGGTACATTACACTGAGGACAGAGTTTTAGAAACACCCCTGGAGAACATTAGATTGTGTATATCTACTAATCTCATGTAACCCAGACTACTCCAGTCTGCAAAGGAAGCGATGAGACATGTATCTTGAGTGTATGTGATTCGGTGGTGTCTGAGGTTTGATCTGAAATCGAGTTTTCACATTGGACTCCACAGCTTTACTTAAATGGCGAGAGAACGAGCCAGTCTGGGAATTTTAACAAGGGCTTGTGAAACCGCTGCTGGAATGCACAGAGGGTTCTGATTTGTGGTTATTCAGAAACTCTCTTAAATGAAATGCTTTTTAGGGAATCTGGGGCTCCCATGCAGTACGTGCATGCAGCGCTCCTGTCCTACCTGCAGGCAGGATCACAGCACTTCAGGCCATGGACTTATGGAGGAGATACTTTGAGGAGAGAGGTGTGACAGAGCCTGACCATTCAAGCCGTCACATTATTGCTCATTTGCTCGGGGCTAAAACTGTGAGTTGAAATTTGCTGAGGTCATTCTACATTGCCTGACGTAATGTCTGAATAACTGCAACAGCATCTCCTAATGTTCTTACAAACCGTTTCTTTATCCAGATAGAAAGTCTTGAACACGGCAAGTTGACAGAGTTTCTCAGCCGAGAAAAAACAGAGCAGATGTGGAAGCTGTGCACTAGACGTCTCTCCAGGTATAAAGCTTCTATATATATAGATTATAGATGTACATATATAATTAATTCAAACCACCCATAAAACTGTGTGACATTTGTATGTCTCCTCTATGTTGCACTGAGCTCCATGTGGAACTTTGTTTCCCTGTATGTCAAGCATATGTGTGGAAATGACTATTAACCTGAAATTGAAAGCCTGAAAAAACCTGAATACTCATAAATGTATGTGTTTCTTGTAGAATGCCTGTGCAATACGTGATTGAGGAGTGGGACTTCAGAGATTTGACACTGAAGATGAGACCTCCAGTGTTCATACCAAGACCTGAAACAGAGGTTGGAGAAAAAAAAAGACGTATGTTCAGTGCACATTGAAATCCCATTGATCACTCGCACATTACTAGAGCAGTGTTCTCTCTGTGCGTTTGGTGCAGGTGTTGGTCGAGCTCGTGCTCACTGATCTGGAGATGAAGCCTGGGACTGGAGTGGGTGCAGACACTCGGCATACGTCTTTAGAAGTGGGATGCGGCTCTGGTGCTATTTCTCTCAGTCTGCTGAAGAGTTTGCCTCAGGTGAGGTCTTTGTTTATTGTACGGAGTATTTGGATCAGTGGTCAGTTTTTTTAATCTTCCTGAATACACTGACTTTCTTTGAGTCATTTTTAGACTTCATTGTTTTTATAACTTGAAATGGCCTTGTGTTGATTTTTTCAATTTAAAGTGATAAATTGCTTAATCGAAGAAATAAAATCAGTAGGCTAATTGGTAGTGACAAAAAAATCATTAGTTAGAGATGTAGAGTAGATACACATGGCTAAGTAAAATGGCTTTGTAGTAGAATACACTACACTCTCCTCCCGTAACGTTAACTATGTCTGCTTATTTTTCTGTCTCCACTGTTAACAGATCGTTAAATCCTGAACATGTCTTAACTTTCTCATGTAGACAAACACGAAAACAGGCAAACAGATTTTTTTTTTCCTGTGAGGTAGTTGTATCCAACAGTAAGCAGCAGTTTTTAATTGCTGTGTTTGTTTCTTTTTCACCAGCTTACAGCCATTGCCTTGGATCAAAGCCAGGATGCGGTGGATTTAACAAGGGAGAATGCGTTAAGGTAATTGTACTTAAGCACTTAAAAAAACAAACCCTAAATGTCCTTATTGATTTACTTTTGTTGTGGTTAAGGACTTACAATGACTGCTTTTTTTTCTTCTTTTTTAAAAATTGGGGCGTATGCAGTAATGCGTGAAATCCGATTTGCGTTTTTTCTCTGCAGGTTGGGGCTTCAGGACAGATTACTCATTTATCATATAGATGTCATGAAAGGTAAGTGAAAGCAGTGTATTGCATTATTAAATAACACATCTAAATACATATACACGCTTATAAACAGTTTTGATTTGTGTTTTGTCAGATGTGGAAAGTGTGTTGAGCCTCTGTAGCCCTGTTTCAGCTTTGGTCAGTAATCCACCGTACTTGTTCTCAGAGGATATGGCGTCGTTGGAACCAGAAATATTTAGGTGGTTAAAACACACACACAGCCTCTCTCAATTAAGATTTTATTTACCCTCCCCATGGTTAACATTTATAGGCAGTGTAATCACTGAATAAATTGTTATAACGCATTATAATAAACTATAATACAATTTGAAAGTGTTCACTAATGGATTTGTCAACAATTACAACCTCCAGGTGAGGCTGCTGCTCTCGATTTTTTTTTTTTTTTCTTTTCTCAATTTATCATTTGGTCGATAAAATGCTGGCAAACAGTGGAAAATGCCCAATATAATTTCCCACAATCCTTACTGGTCCGGCCTACAGTTCAATATAGATATTCAGATTACCATCATACAAAACAAAAAAAGCAGTGAATCCTCATATTTGAGAAGCTGTAACCAGCAATTGTTTTACATTTTTGCTTGAAAAATTACTAAAATGATCAATTGATTATCTAAATTGTTAATTTTAAAGTGATCAACTAATCAATTATTTGAATAATTGTTTCAGCCACACATCCAATGAAGTATCCATAACTGGTGTATAAACATTTAAGGAATGATTGATAACACATGTAGTGTAACATAGTTGTTATACATTTCATAATGATGTATCACTGCACACATGAACAAATCCTTACAGTATGGTGTAAAGAATTTATTAAGGGGTTATACTTATCGTTTAAATATGTACTGTTATTGACAAAAAATGTAATTGTACTTACCAAATTTGATGTTTGTTTCAGCGTAACCAAAGTCAAACCTTTGAAAATGCATAAAATGTATTAAATAAATTTTTCATTAGATGTCCTTTAAATTTTTTTTTTTTGGAAATATGTAACATCAAGTGGATGTGCAGTATTTAAGTGACATGTGGATGCTGTCTGCTGCTCCCAGGTTTGAAGACCACTCTGCTTTAGATGGAGGTGAAGATGGCCTAAAAGTGATCAAACAGATTTTGACTCTGGCAACAAAGATTCTGTCAGATCATGGGTATGGAGCCCCTCTGCCCGACACACACACACACACATACACATACACACACACACCTGGGTTTAATTCCTAACGGCGGCAGCAGCTTGTCACAAGAACAGCATGTTCTGAAAAACACACGTATCGTGTTGCCTCTTTAATGAGTTAAGCTTTTTAAAAGACTTCCAGTGAATACAGGTCCAGACATGTGCCACTGCTCTCATCTCAAGGTTACATCTCATAGTCCCGTCTTGTTGGTAATTAAATTTTAATCCATTTTGTGTTCTTTTCCCGGTGAATGAACAGTCGTCTTTACTTAGAGGTGGACCCCAGACACCCCCCGCTCATTCGGCGGTGGGTGGAGGCGAATGTGGAAAAGCTGCATTATGTGGAGACACGGCACGACATCACCGGCAGGTCTGTCCAGAAAACCTCTCAGCCTTTACGTCTGTCACCTGAGCATCATCAAAACATTTTGTCAGCATTTAACCTGCTGTTATTTCATGCTAAAGTTGAATTCATGTTGATCTTTTAGGTCCATTAGTGTCTATTAGATTTAAAGTAAAAGGCTGCAATGATAAAATCTTCCAAATGTAAGCTCAGTGCACCCTTGCTTTGTGCTTCTTTCACATCGCAAGTCCAAACTCAGCATCTGTGACACTGACTTGTTTTTGTTTCTTAGGCCCCGATTCTGCATCCTTCAGAAAAGAGAAGTCAAACAAGGACCTGAACTGGATCTGGATTGAGAAACTGAGATCCTATTACGCTGGCTTTAGCCCAGGTTGCCACAGCCTCAGCTCCCCTACCCCCACTGAGCCACCGAGCACGCGCCTGCACGGATTTGATCATTTAAAATTCACAGTTTGCAGAGGCTTAAACCACTTTTTATGTCACTGTTGCACTTTCAGTCTGGTAACATTTGTGATCACATCGTGTGCCACAATAAAAAATGTGTGCGAGATGGCACAAAAGCAGGCTCAAAGCTGAAGGTAATTACCGAGGCTTTTCTTAGAACCCTCCCTCTCAGAATCGCACCCTCCTCCCAGGAAGCATTCAGTAGTTCTGTGAATCTGCTGATGAACGGTCCTCCCCTTTGCTTGGCCACTCGCTGACTCAGATGCAGGCTGTATGCATTGTTGAGCAAAAACACACGCACAATGTGGCTTTTACTTCCTCACACAATCAGTGTGTCTCACACACTTAAAGCTCAAAGGCCACAAAGTCTTTGTGTTTCAAAGGTGATCGAAGGCAAAAATATTTCCTAACAAGTGTCACATGAGCAGTCATCATGTGGTGGTTAATAATGGTGATGATGACAGTATCTCTCTTTATCTCTCTTTACCCTTTTTACTGGGATTTAAAGCAGGACAGTAGAAAAGGATATAAAGGACAGCAAGTTAGACTCAAATTGTTTTTTTTAATAGAAAAATGTACACATGTAAAAGGTAGAAAAAATGTTTTACTGAGAAAAATAAAATGGCTTAAAATTATGTTTCAGTGGAATCAATGTACTTCTTGGAAACAGTATGCACATCCAAAACTGATGAGGATAAAGTAGATATGGACAATTTCCACATCCGTCATAAAATAAGTGTAGATTACAGTACGGAGTTTTCTCACAAGTCGTCTCTTTCTGGGATGCCTCACCACCCAGTCCATAACAAATTAAGTCTGAAACCAGACACGTCAGCAATAACTGAGTTTGTACATGTTTCGTCAGTAAAAACATGACCCTGTGTCCAGTTTTTTGGGACTGGCCTCCAACTGCTGGAGCAGCAATGTCATTTACAGACATAAAGGACCTGTTTGATGTTTTTTTGTCTTTTGTCTGTAATGAACTTGAGGGACCACTCATACCTTGAAGGGATAGTCCTGTATGTAACGCAGCAGAGGCCTCGGGAGTGGTAGCTGGTCTGGGCAGTCTGAGTGTCTGTTGATGACGAGGCGTGTGAGGTGCTGTAAGGAGGGGAGGCCCTGGGGCTTGTACACAGCCCGCTTCAGTTTTAATACCACAGACGGCTCCTGAATTGTCTGCTGAGAGGGCTTTGAAGGAGACTCCACCTCCACCTTCCCCTCCTCGGCTTTCCTCTCTGGTCCCATGTAGTGCTGCACCAGGCAGGGCACACTGGGGAAGGATGACAGGCTGGGCCGGGCCGGGGAGCTGGAGTCGAGCAAAAACTGGGCGCCGCTGTACTGGATCCGTATACTGGTGGGACCACGGGCAGTCCTCACCGAGAGGGTCAGCATGTACATGGGGTGGCTGCTGTCCCGTACCAGAAAGGCTCCTTCAGATGCCTCTTGAAGTGCAGCGTGGGCCTGAGCTGCAGTTATAGCTCCCCAGTACCATCCTACACACACAGATTCCTAAATATTAGTCACTTTGGACATGCATTGCAGCCCTGTATGTTGCTTGATGTTTATTTCACAGTAACTAAACTCTTACAGCAGAAAATAATACCAATCTGTGCCTGGAGTGGCTTGTGGATTTTCAAGAATCTTATTGGTGATGTTCACTGGCTTTAAATGTGAAACACATTTCATACTGTACCTGAATTTTCTAGATAACAGAAGTTGGTGGCAATCGCCTTCAGGTCTTTTGCGGGGTCCCATATTGGAGGGGTGGTTTGAAGGCAAGGGGTTGGAGGTACAGTTCCCGCCCGCATGCCCCGTGGGGCTTCAGTGGAAAGAGCACCGGGCAGAAGAGCTGGTGGACTAGAAATAAAATGGAAGATACGGTTCAAATGGTATAAAATAAAACACACCTGCAGCTAAATAATCATGGCAGGCTTTATCCCTCCATGTCCATGCATGAATCTGTCCTATATTCTTTGTAGTTCAGTGATTATTGCTAAATAATAACGAGAAGATGTTCACTAAGATCAGTTCACTGTTGAACTTGACAACCACAAAATGTGACTATTTAGTCTTATTTATGATTATATAATCGCATTTTTATTTAATTCTGATTTGGTGACGGTCTTTTTTTCTGCTTGTCTGTTATAGCTGCCAATCTTAGCCAGGACACAATATTTTTAAATCTAAGTCAGGCTTTCCTGCTTAAATAAGCTGTTGATATAATTAAGTTTGTTTTTGTAATTAGTGTAACAGACCTTTCCCTTTTGCGTTGCAGTTATGAATGAGTTATGAATACATTTATAATTTACACTCTTTGAAAATAACTGAACACTAATTAAGAGCACACTAGTTTCACAAATAGATTTGTTTTTTGTTTTTAACAAAAACAACTGAGGAGAAAGAAAAGCCAAGAGACAAAGAAAAGCCAACTCACCCTGGTACACAAAGAATCATACTATTTGTTGAATCCTTTGGGCTAAAATCCAGTTGTTGCTACTTCTTCAAAAAATGATGAAAACATATAGAGTTTAAGCTAAAAAAAACACCTCCACATATAATACGCTTTAACATGGGTTTGATAAGTAGACCTATAGGCGATAAAAAAACACGCGAAGAGCTCCGTGTACCCACACAGGGTCTGGTCCTGTAGTTTATATAACAGCACTGAATATATCACGAATAGTAAAACACTGGAAAACAGAATTAATTTAAAACCTGAACGAAAAATCTCTGTAGCAGCGGTTTGGAGTGTGTTGTCACCAGAGCAGGATCCAAATGTGTGAAGGACAGAGTGTAAAGGCTTGGCTTTTAAAATTTACCGTTTCCTAGAAGTCTATTCTGAGAACTCTTCTCAGCACCGGCGGCTCTGACGTCACACCGGCCGCACCAACTCCCACTCCGCTTCAACTGCCGCTGGTTGTTTGCTTTGCGACAAGCTAACTGTGCGGCTATTAGCAGTGTCTTTGGAGGGAAGGCGGCTTGTTTTTACTGTTAATTCTCGTTATAATCGTACCGAGCCTCGTCATTGTGTATTTTTTCATTTCGTGAAACGTTTTGTCACCCATCTCTTTCCCCCTGTTTCACCCGGCGGCTCCTGCCTTCGCTGAACCGGCGCTCGCTCCCTGGAATCGCGCGGCAGCTTCTCCCTATCCGCTTTCCAGGAATAATTGCAGGGTTTGACTCCGCCCCGCCGGGCGGCCCTGACAGAGCCTTCATTCTGGGAATTCACCGCCTCGACATTAAAGATAATAGGAATGCGCACAGGCTATTTCCAGTAATATAGATTTCCCTCGATCCTGCTGGTGGAAAAACACGGCGAGAGGTTTTCTCGGAGGTTTGTTGGAGTAATTACGCTCGAGAAAACAAGTTGTTGTTGTTGTGACAATAAACTAAAAAGGGGTTAACCTCACTGTTAGGCCATAGAAAATGTCACTGTACTTACAGTTTGTTTTACTTTCGTCTCAACCCCGTCTGTAATATTAAATTATGTTTGATCTGTTGAGATACGTCCCGCTTTCTCACCAGCTCTCCCTCCTGCATGTAGGTATTCATATCTTAATATTAGCGACTACAATCAGGCCAGATATAAGCTGCTGTACATCCTGATCACAGTGAAAGTTTTCAAGCTATTTCTCCCAACAACAGTCTGAGCAATCTCTCTCTCTCTCTCTCTCTCTCTCTCTCTCTCTCTCTCTCACACACACACACATGTGGTAGACTGGAAACAAAGCAACACATGAAGCTATGCTGTATCGTAATCCACGAGAGCCTGCTGATCCCAAATACCTGAATCTTTGCTTTTTCCAAGAAATCCTGAATTGAGCTTTTTTTTTCTTTCTGAGAAGTCTTGTGGACTTTATCTATTCCTGCTGAATGCTGTTGAACAAATATGTTTTTTTAGTTCATGAAGAAGAAGAGAACACCACAATTATTTTTGTGACCTTTTATTTTATTCGTAATTATGTAACCAGAAGTCCTGAGATACACAGTCAGTTTACAACAATCACATGTAGCAAATTAAAACAGGATCTGATAGCCATGGACAAAACCATAACCATGTCTGTTTAAAGACATTACATTTTTCAATGTGGCATTTGAATGCCTGATGCAATGGCAGCATTTCCAAATGAAGGTTGTCCTGAAATTTATTGAATTCCTGGGGTGCATGATATGAAAAGGCAGTTTTGTGAAGTTCAGCAGAGAGATAATAAAATGTTGTCCATCTGGATGATCTAGTTTGGTAACTGGAGAGCCTTTTATGAGGTAAGCAGAAAGTTTGCCAAGAATTTGAAAATGAAAAGGTACAAACTGTATGAACCTCCACAGCGCCTCATTCACACTGAGGTTTATTTTTGTGTACTGGAGCATAATTTTTATGTTTGAGTGATTATTTTTGAGAAGAACATTACTCCCATGACAAAATGCTCCAATACAAGAAGACCTAAAACATCAAACGTTGTTGCATCTGTGGAGTATCTATATGTTTATGGACTGAGGCTGCAACTAATGATTATTTTCCATTACTGATTTTACATATCTTTATTGAATGATTAATTATTTGTCTATAGAAAGTCATAAAATAGATGATGAAAAGCAGCTGATATGCACATTCAAATAGCAGGAATCATTATTTTCTTTAAAAACTTACTGAAATATTTACTCAGCTGCCAAAATAGTTGAAGATTTATTATGTCAATCAACTAATTGACCAAATGACTAGAGCTTGGACTTTGGGAACTACAATTGTGAAATGCATTTCCCACATGTACTTGCATGAAGAAACACAGGTGGGCTCCCTTTGATGACAAATGTCAAGTATATAAAACAGGAAAAGCATGTTATTATTGTTTCTGTAACAACAAGATATCATTATAACTTGATTACAAAATCTAGTAATTAACCACCAATCAACAACTTTTGCTGGTATACAGTCTTTTTCACATATGAAAATACCTGCGCAATTGCTGGCCATGTGTTTGCTGTGTGTCAGTTCCACACTACATACTAATATACCTTACCATTTTAAGAACATTACGAGTCTGCCTATCATGGCTAATTGGAGCAGCACAGGCAAGCAGCCAAATGCAGACTCAAAGGTAGGCATGTTAAGGGAAGATAGTTAAATAGTGAAAAATAGGCAAGCAACAGGATAAAACACGCTAGCAGTAGGAACACAGAGGAACCACAAGGGGACATAAGCAGGTGAGCCAACAAAGAAATGGATGGCAAGGTTAAAAAGCGGCTTGGGTGATGTGGGAACTGGGTTCAGGTGTGTGAGTTAGGAGGGAAACATAGTGATAGATGTGGAGCAGGTGAGCAAGTGGAAAAAAAAGTCTGTGTACATCTGGCAAGTGGGTGAAGACTGGCAGGGAGGGATAACATGGAGACAAAGGGAAGTGAGTGAGGGTTGATAACAG